GTTTGACCAATCGGTCAACCCAATGCCTTTCTTATGGCCCAAAGTAAATGTCCACCACCATATAACTATTATTATACCAAGATGAATAAAATATGCGGTCTCGGGAATATCGGGTGGTCCCCGCTCCCGTGTGGGCCCCACGTGCACTTTACTATTCACGCAAAAGAATTAACAAAAATTTACAACCTCGTAAATTCATTAACCATTTCATAAGGTTCAATACATAATTTACACAAAAGTAAATATACTTGGGGACGGTGTTACAATTACAGAGCAACCCCCACCTCTCTGCAGCAACCGACGACGAAGGAGCTGCGCAAAAGAGGTTCCCAATCCGGTCAGAACTCGTCCAAAAGCTACTCGAATAGAAGGGAAAAGAGGCGTGGTGTACCGGGATCGTGTGAGCTCCCTTCAACCGTCAATAACCGTTTGAATCGAGGTATTTCATCTTCTTTGCTAAACCTAGGTTTATTCTTAATTTTTGCTCGAAATTGCTCGAAATTGTTGTTGTTTACCTGAAATTGTTGTTGTTTCTCTAATTATAGTGATTGACAAATGATGTTCTTGTGCAAGTTTAAGTTGGGTGTATTTTCTTTGCCAAGAATGCATGGATTGGGGGTCTCAATTAACCCTTGTTTGCTTTTTTGGGAAAAAACTCCACTTGGCGAGTTAACTACTCCATATATTAGCAAGTTTGAGTAATAATGATATTAAGAAGAAAATGATTATGCGTGAATAAGCCCTACTTTAAGAAGAAAAAAATGATTATATGTAATAAATGTTTACTTTGTTTATGTTTTGGTTAATTATTATGAGTCCTAATATAATGGTATGAAATCGTAATATGTATCTACGATCTAATACTTTTCGTTTGAATTATAGTAATTGTAGTTGAATTTTCAAATAGCGGCATATGTCATACTTTTTTTGGAATGATTTTTTTCTTAGAATATGTCTAGAAACTTCTCCATTGTTTGTCAATGGGGAGGAAGTATTATCGAGGAGTCAAACGGAGTTCATTATGAAGGAGGGATTCGGAAGATAATTGTGGTTTCCCGTCGGGTGGATCTTGCTGAAATAATGAATAAAATTTATGCCGCCACATCCATCAATCGTATGAAGAAGTTGGATTTGAAGGTTAAATATCCCATGCATGGTGGATCATACATGTTGATGCCTCTTGCTGACGACGAAGCCGTTACAGGAATGTGGACTGTAATCGAGAATCTTGATATGCATACCATGGAGATATATGTTGAAGAAGTGGCGGTGTTGCCCGTACAACCTGGCCACCCGCCATTGTCTTGCCCATCCACAAGTGTTCCAGTTGTGATGAATATGGTTACACAGGAGAATGGAAGATACGTGAATAGTGATGCAACGTTTCTGGATTCACAGTGCAATGACGACGATGCAGATGAGAATGTGAACCATGACACACTAACAGATTCAGATGAAGATGGTGGTGATCTCGTAAGTGTCAATGCACCATCCAGCCACTACACTAAAGTTTATGACCTCCCCGCGGGATTTGATGAATCATGGAAGGGTTGTACAATTTCTAGTCGCTTCTCTGCAGAAGGTGAATTCGAGGTTGGACAAGAGTTTGATGATAAGAAACAACTGATCAACATGGTTAGAGCGTACTCTGTAAAGAGGGACCAATTTTTCTCAGTTGTAGAGTCTGACAAACACAAATGGGTGGCAGAGTGTAAGAGGAGAAAAGAATGTGGCTGCACTTGGCGGATCCGGGCTACTAAGAAACATGAGAAGCTAGAGATGTTCAAAGTTGTTCGTTATGCAGGTCCTCATATACCTACTTGTGTAGGTAACGTCGATAACAATGACCATGCTGGTATCACAGCTCAGTTCATAGCCCATGAAATTATTGATCTTCTTCGTACCGATCCATCACTAAAAGTCCGCACTATTAGTCAGCTTATGAAGGAAAGATACGGCTATATACCTTCATACAAGCGAAGTTGGTTGGCTAAGCAAAAAGCTATCGGTGAAATATTTGGAGATTGGGAGGCCTCGTATTCTGAATTGCCTCATTTCATGTTGGCATTACAACATTCCAATCCAGGGACAGTCGTGCATTGGTACCCACCTCTTTCAGGTACCAATGAGTTATTAATATTATTATTATTATATATTAAATTTCATTTTGAATTCGTCCTCCTAATTTTCTCCATCTTCAGGTACCACTGATGTGCAGCAGTTTCAAAGAGTTTTTTGGTCATTTAAGCCATCCATTAAGGGCTTTAAACATTGTCGTCCCTTACTGACCATCGATGGAACACACTTATATGGGAAGTATAAAGGTACACTGTTGGTGGCAATGGGTAGTGATGCTAATAATCAACTGTTCCCTTTGGCGTTTGCTATCTGTGAATCAGAGAATGGAGAGAGTTGGCCGTGGTTTATGGCGTGCATACGTCATTCAATCACACGCAGAGAATTGTGTGTTATTTCAGATCGACATGTTGGAATTATGAAGGCATTTAATGAGGTAGGCAGTGGATGGGAGGAGCGAGATGCACGACATAGGCTTTGCATACGGCATGTCGCTTCTAATCTGCATACTCAATTTAAAGACATTCACTTGAAGAATCTGTTCGTTTGGACAGCCAGTCAACGTCAAAAGAAGAAATTTGATGGTAGATTTAACAAGATAGGCGAAATGCAGGCACAGGCACGAGAATATCTAGCGAACATTGGCTTGGAGAAGTGGTCTTTACACCACGACGGGGGATACAGGTATGGCACCTCAACAACGAACATGGCTGAAGTTTTCAATAGTGTCATGAAAAGTGCACGATACCTGCCGGTAACCGCTTTAGTTGAGTTATCATTCTATCGTGTGAATGCCTATTTTGTGGAAAGAAGAGAAAGTAGTAAGAGAAGATTAGCAGAAGGGCATCGCTACTGCCAGCATGTGACCGAACAGATTGAGAAAAATACGGAAAAAGCAAAGCATCACAAGGTCACAATATTTGACATAGGCCGTGGTTTATACCAAGTGGAGACGGGTCGTGGTGGTCGAACCGTGGGGAAGGGTGGTAAAAAACAAACGGTGAATTTGCATCGTCGCCATTGCACATGTCAGAAGCCGAATATTTATAAGATTCCTTGCTCACATATATTAGCGGTATGCAGAGACCGTAGTTTGTCCTATGATCCATTTGTAGATATATTTCTTTCATCATCGGAGTATGCTGCTTCCTATAAAAGAGTATTTAAGCCCATACCAGATATAGCGTATCGACCTACTTACACTGGCCCACGAGTTGTGCATGACCCGTCGATGATTCGCGCTAAAGGTCGTCCGAAGGCTAAACGATTGAGAAATGAAATGGATGAAGGCCCTAGAGGTACTGTGAGATGCAGTAAATGCAAGCAAACAGGGCATAACAGGACGACATGTGCTAGAAGATCGGAGGGACACATAGGGAGTTCCACTAGGTAATGTTGTTCTTTTATTCACAAATGCATTAGCAATATTAAAAAATAAATAAATTTAATTTAATAATAGCAGTTTCAAATAACTAATACACTTATTACTTTTACAGCGCCGATGCAGGTGTCAGTGGATCCCGGACCGATTGATCCTTCAGTCCTGACATTGCAAGCCACGCACCGGAGCGAGGATGTGTGGCGTGGCCTGGATGTTCAGGTAGATAGGTGTCGTGAGCACCTACGCAATATATTCCACACGGGGGTGGACGATAGGATTCTACATTACGTTCGATTAGCTGGGTTTTATGGTGTTCACAGATTAGTTTCGACTCTGCATATAGATAGAGCATTACTTACCGCTCTACTTGAGCGTTGGAGGCAGGAGACTCACACGTTCCATTTACCGGTGGGTGAGGTCACGATCACATTAGGAGATGTGGCTGTATTGGCAGGCCTACCGATCGAGGGCCGGGCAGTTACTGGGACTGCATGTAGACTGTGGGTTGATTTGGTACACAGATTGTTGGGAGTACGGCCACACCCTGGGACAGATATTCGGGGGTCCGCCTTGAGGATGGCTTGGTTGAGAGAGCATTTTGTTGGTTTACCTGCTGATGCTGATGAGGATGTTGTGCAGCAGTACGCGAGAGCCTACATTCTGATGCTTATGGGAGCTTCCACGTTTGCGGACAAGAGCGGGAATGAGGTGCAGGTCTTGTATTTACCCATTCTGGAGTCTTTTGATGTACCTGCAGTTTATAGCTGGGGTAGTGCGACTTTAGCATACCTATATAGGCAGTTATGTCGAGGTTGCCATCGTGACGGTGGAGAGATGGGTGGGTTTTTATTCCTCATACAGCTATGGTCATGGGAGCACATTCATATCGGCAGACCTGTCATACTGCGATATCATGGGGTAGATGGTGGTCCTCTTGATGATGATATGGATCAGCACGTTGTACTTGGGCCACATCATGTTCGTGGCGAGGATCCTTTGGGTCGTAGGTATGTTTATGATTTTTTTTGTATGACGTACGTGAATCCCTTTTATATTCTTATACATTACTGTGTGTCAGATGGCTATTTGCTCATGTCACGCGCACGTCATCCGCTGCTGGATTAGGATACTACCGAGATGCTTTAGATCGCTTGTGTGATGATCAGGTATATCATTTATATCATTAAATGTAAGTACTTTGTTTTATGTTTTTATAAACCATGGTTTAACATAATTTTATATTATAGATGACGTGGATGCCGTACACTGATGAGATTCTAGGGCTGTTGCCTCCTGTTGCCCGAGAGCACACTGAGATATGGCGAGCACGTGTGCCCTTGATATGTTTTGATGTAGTGGAGCATCATTTTCCTGATCGCGTACTACGCCAGTTCGGGTTGCAGCAGGTTACTCCCGGACCTTGTGATACATCTGTGGATTTGCACAAGATTGATAGACGGGGGAAGCACACTGAAGATTGGGGGATGCGCCATATTCAGTATATCACTATGTGGGATGAGAGAGCGGCGTATATAGTGGACGGGATCCCGTCATTAGTCCCCACAGCTTCTGTAGACTACATGAGATGGTATTACACCATCACACGGGTGTTTATCTCTCCCAGTTTTCGTTTACCCACTGATCATTACCAGCCTAGCTCAGTCGCTCTTCATATGACGGTAAACAATATAGTCAATGAAATATCCTTATTTATTTATTCATGTGTTTTTCACTAATAATCATGTTTGCATTACAGACACGGGCTTTGCGTAGCATCCATGACAGAGCGACTGCTATACTTGATGAGGCGGTAGATGTACAGGGATACCATGACGCTTGTTCAGGCATTGTTTCACTGTGCGCTGATGTATTGGGTCGAGTGGATTATGGATATATGGCCACCTCTCAGCATTCCACCGCATCTACATCCGCAGCAGGGTCTTCTCAGACAGTCCGACGTGATAGAGTTGTTCTTCAGCCTCGTAACCAGCGCAGGCGTCCCCGAGCACAGCCACATGAACTTCATGATGATGATGATCACGTTGACTTATGATCTTTGTATTTAAATTATTGTGTGAAAGTTGTAGCATGCACTGGCAGATCGAATCATTTTGTGAAACACCAGATTTATGATAACTTTTATGGTTTATACTCAATTTTGTGGTGCATTGATTCGTTTTGTGAAAGTTTCATAATATGTAGTTTCATTGATTCGTTTTGTATTTTGGATGTATGTTGTCATGTAGTTTCATTGATTCGTTTGGTGTTTCGGGTGTATTTTGTCTTAGTAAATCATATGTTTGGTTGTTTTTTTGAGAGGAATGGACTGTGAGTCTGTGATGAGCTGTTTTTCTGGTAATTACGGGTTTAGTTGTCTGAATGATGGTGCAGCGGGTTCGTTAACACAAGAGCCGCCACTTGGAGTGGCGGCTTTCAAACAGAAGTAGAAGAGCCGCCACTCCAAGTGGCGACTTTTGTGAAGCTGTACAAAAGACGCCACTTGGAGTGGCGGCTTTGGTTAACCGTGGTTAACCCCAGCAGTATTTCGGGAATTATTCTTAACCCGGCAGTATTTTGGGAATTATTTATTTAATTAACATTATTCCGGGAAAAAACTCCTAAATAGGATTAAGAGTGTTTTCTTTCATATTAAAAGAAGGGAAAAATAATTAAAATACCCCAAACTTTTAAGAGGTGCGAGATAAACACCCCAAACTTTCATATGTAATTTAAATATCCCAAACTTTAAATAAAAAATTATTTTAACACCATGGGCATGCATTATTTAAAATTTATGATGTTAATTGCATAACTTAACATAGCAAACTAAAAACGTTGCAATTATATAGAGTGGGGGATAATACTATTTATTGTACAATAAAAGTTTAGAAAGTAATTGTATATTCGTGAATGCTAAAATATTTTAAATCATAAAATCAACCCCAAAATTAACATTTTTGAAACAAATAATACATGACCATGATGCTAAAATAACTTTTATATAAATTTTGGGGTATTTAAATTATTTTCCCTTAAAAGAATGAAAGGCTAAAAAATCACTAAAATTGTGTTATGTGTAGCTTATATTTAGGTAATTTTTCTCAAACTTTATCCGTAATTGCATCTTTACACACCACAATATAAATTAATCTTCTTTTTACTCATACTTGTACATACATGTATTAAACTAAATTTAATCAAACAATATTAAATATGTGGTTTGCTATTTATGAAATATGAGACTAAATTGTAGTGCACATTTGTCCCCACTCGCCAAATTTCCTGGATACGCCACTGCTGAGCTACTACCTTTTATTTTTAAGATCTTTCAGTCACTAAAAGCTAACAGTTACTAAAAATCTCATAAAAGTATCTTTTCAACTTGTTGTGCCAAACATACCCATAACCTTTTCTTTACAAATGGTTGGAATGGCTTGGAATACTTAATGGGAAAATTCCCGAAATAGGACTAAAAATGATTGAAAATTCCAAAATGGGACTGCCATATTTTTATTCCCAAAATAAGAGTAATTACTGCCAAGTTTGGAAAATACTGCCATGTTTGAAGTCTGGTACTGGCAAAACATGACAGTAATTAGTCCTATTTTGAGAATAAAAACGTGACAGTCCTATTTTGGAATTTTCAAACTTTTTTACTCATATTTCGGGTAATATTCTCATACTTAATTGGATTGTAAATTTCAGATTTGTTTTGATCTATTTAAGCCCATTTCATTTGGTCTAATCTAATCATTTTGAATTTAGAGCCCATTTGGTGACCACATTTTCAATTTATCATACTTATTAGTCAACCTTTTCACCAAACACATAAGTTTTGATTTGTAGCGCTGAATTATATAATAATAAAAAAAGTAAGGTTGTAGTTACTTTTCTGACTATATTCATTGAATTTACTGTAGAAGATTATTTTAGCTGGTTTTTCATATAATTTTTTCTTTATTTTATTAACAAAATACTACGTATATTTCATTTTTTGTCTTTCATAACTCATATTACAGCAACTACCTCTGTAAGCATACCAATCAAGTATAACTCATACTGAGCTTGTCAATTTTACTTTAGATTTTGAAAATTTTGTATCAACCCTCAGTCGAGGCCGTGGATGTAGCAACTAACTTGCATGAACAAGATACCAACTCATGGTTGATTAGAAAACACGAAGCTCGAGCTCGTCTCCTTGCAGCGTGGCGTCGCCTTCTTCTCCGGAAGCCACCTCAAAGTGGAGTGTACTCGGTTTCCCCCGTTAGGAGTTTTTCCCACGGGATTTTTTCTGTTGGGTGTGTCTCGAAAAACAAAGAAAATTAATTAATAAAATTAATTATCTAAAATAGCTAAAGAAAAACCAGAAAAACAATGGAGCGGAATTTAGCCAAAGCTTGTGCAACGCATGATGTCCTTAAAACGTATTTGTTGCCTCCCTAGGTGCTAGGAGCGTTTCAACAACCGTTTCCCATGATATGATAACTACGAACAATCGTTGAGCACTCAAACGAATTGTTCTAGCGAACATGAACTTTCAAGAACACAAAGGAATTATTTAAGAGATAGATGGAGGTGTTTTTGAGCTAAAGAAAACGTGCAGTTCGTGTATGATTGCATATGTTGTTGCAAAGCACCTGCCAGGCAGGGGCGGAACCAGGGGTCAGGGTGTTCAGTCAACCCCGCTGAAAGTTTGAAAATATAGAGCTCTGAAATATCTTCGATTTGATATATTATGGCCCTCGTAATTCATTACGAGTAAAAAGTTATGACTTCTGCAAAATCGGCACTATCTAAACGAAAAATCAGCAAAATTTGATGCGTAATATTGACTTGTTCTCCCAAATTTTAAAAATAGCGTTTAATTAACTCGTTACTTTTGTGTCATGACTCAGAAACAGAGCAAAGACAATCTTCTTTATTGCTACGAGTGTCTATTTATCTAAACTACATATGAAATATTCGACTCGGAGATTGTCTAAAAACGATCCATCGTTTTCATTTTGTAAAAAGTTGATTTCGACCACAGCTGCCAGGTATTTATAGGGAAAGATTTGTTGAGTGAAGAGTGTGTTAATGGACCTGAACGTTGGAGATTAATGACCAGATCGTTGGCATCAATTCGTCCAAAAAACTGTCCGATTAAAGGTGCATTAATGTACAAGAATGTTGGGCATTTATTACTCGTAACATTTCAGAAGCCATTCAGAAGAGTCTATCCGAAGCCTTCTGATTCTGATAAGAAGCCTTCTGATGCTTCTGGTCCGAGCAATCAGATGCGAAAAAAGCATCACGGGAAGAAGCAAAAATTAAATCGTATATTTGAAAGATCGGTTTTCGGACGACATTCATGTCCGCAAGTCGCCCGCGCACGCAAGTCGCGGTTTTATTCTCCATTTTCGAGATTTGATCGGCACCTTCATGCGCGCGAAGAGAGTCTTTCCACCTAAGAATATTAACTCCTTCAAAGAGGGTTCCCCTAATAAGGGGGTGAAAATCCCTTTGGTTTTCTGGTGTGGAAAACAACACACTAGAAACTCATCTTTTCCCCATTTTTTTCTGCTTCAACGAGTGAACTTCGAGAATCAATTTCTCATTCACCCGTTATCTCTTTTGACCCGACCCAAATCGGAAGTGGATCTCACTCAAAATATTGTCCCAAATTGACCATTTAATGCAATTTTTAACACATTTTACAACATTTTCCACGGTGGAGTATTTAATGAGACGCCCATTTGTTGTGACCGAAGAGAGAAGTGCCCCCACCCGGCGCACCAACCCAGAAGTCAAAGAATCACTCTCTATCACCTCAAGTGTAGCTATTGTCTTAGAGAGTGAAGGACTCATGATGGAGTATATTCTCATATACCCCATGGGTACCAACATTCATGAACAAAGAAGACCCCATAAACATTCACAAACAAATTAAAGGCTCATAAATTTGATGTATCCACTATGTATTGTATATTGTCTAATGAAAGTTTATGAAGAGGAATTAGAATATTAAAGTTTGAACTTTGAAAGAGTGAGAGCCTAAATGGCATTTCAGTAATACGTACCAACCTAGTGGACAATCCCGTCTTTTATTTAAAATGGTTTACGCCTTCATAATTATTTTTCTTGGGCCTCATGAAATTAGTAAACACAACCCAAAAGTTCAACCTACTCACTCTCAAGTCTCAATGCAGAGTTTTAAGAATCGACCTAATTTTTTTACATTTTTTTTGGGGTTAGGGCCTCCGACCTGTTGCACTCCTAGGTTGAAGTTACTTTTTTGTCTGTATTGGCTGAAGTTACTTTAGATGATCATTTTAACTAATTTTTCATAAAGTTTTTTCTTTATAATATAAATAAAACATATTTTAAATATTTTTTTCATAAACCAGCGGAGTTAGCCAATCAAACCAGCGGAGTTAGCCAATCAAACCAGCAGAACTTCATAAATTTCAACAAAATTACCTGGCACATTCGATTTGGGACTTTGGGTGTTATCAAGCTGATCTAATCTTACGGCGTAGTACTATCTATTTAATTTAATAACATCAAATTAGAGTAATCTTACGGCGTAGTACTATGACTATTTAATAACATAAATTAGAGTTAATTAAAGACTTCAAAAGAGGGTTAGAATTTTCAAAAGAGTGGGTCTATATAAGATAGAAAGTCACTAGTGCAGTACACAACGAAGACGCTCTCTGTCTCTCTCTCTCTGACTCCCCTTTCCACTTGCATCTATGGCCAAGCAAGTTTTTATCTTCTTCCTCATCGCCCTCTTATCATCCTCTTTCCAAATTAATGCCAGAGAAAGCCATTTCTTCAACAAAGTCTCCAGCAGCAATGCTGTCAACAGCGAAGCCCAGCAGGCAACTGCTGTTCCACAAAAGCAGGAACCAACTTTCACCGTAGAGAATGAAAACACCTATGGCCTTTTCAGTCATGAGGCCGGCCAGCTTCCTCCTTCCGCCACCACCTTCAACCGCCAGCAAACCCACACCACCCCAACCCAAATCTCGGCTGACATCCCGAACAAGAAATATCTTCCCAAGAACTACAACCCTGTTGCCTACATTACCGTCGCCGAAGACCGCACTTATGACGCCGCCGCCGCCGCGGGTAACAGTCAAGGCGACAAAGAATCGAACTTTCACATCGAAAACGCAAATTTCTTGAGCAAGGACCTCACCCCCACTGAACCCACCGGCCGAAAAGAGTCAAGCATGCCAGATGGCACGTTGTTCGACGACAAGGAGTTCACTCCGGCCAACGCCGCCGATAACTACCAGGAGTCCACCACCGCGTCTGCCGGCGGCGGCAACACTAACAACTACCTCGACAACCTAGAATCAAGCGTGCCCGAAGAGAAATTCACCGAGAGTGAGTTTCGCAACCAGCAGGAAGAAGAACCCTTCTCCGGCACTGGTGCAAACTGGGTTCAGCAGCAGGGGATGAGTGACACGAGATTTTTGGAAAACGGGAAATACTATTACGACCTCAACACAGAGAGATCCGTGAGAAGCCCATTTGAAAATTCAAAAAGCTTTGCAAGAAACCAGTTGAAGAACAGCAACTTCATGGAGAACAACTTCCAGGATGTTGCTGAGTTCCCAGATGAAGAGGAAATGCCTTGAGATCTGTTCTCTTTTCTTTCGTCTTTTCCTTTTCTCAGATCTGAAAGACTGTTGTGTGTGTGAAAGTCCCAAAGTTTCCAAAGCAAACTCGGTGCTTTGTTCTGTGTTTAGCCGTTTAGGGGATATTGATCGTTATTATAATATATTATTATAATACTCCGTATGTTATTACTCCGTATTATTATTATAGAAATTGCTCTTATTATTAGGTAAAAAAAGGAGCAGTTGGTCCCTTCTTCATAGTCAAGATTCGGTTGTTGAATTAGGTGCGTAGTCTCGTGGTATGCTTTTGACTTTTGTATCTGGTGTGGTTAAGTGACAAACATTTTACCATAGTGCAAAAGCACACCCTTTCCAGTTTGTGAATGTCACAAACTGTGATGAGAGGTTTTAGTATTGAGTTCTAATCCCGGCAACTGTGATGAGAGGTTACTGAGTTAAAAATGCATAGTGTCTTTACAAGTACTAGGGCCAGAGTCTCATTCTCCATCTACTAGTTTGTGATTAAAGTCTAACTTATATTCTCCCATCTAACTGTTCGGTTAGTGTCGGGGATCACAATGAATCCCAAGCCTTCATTCGTTTTCACTTTTTTATCCATGTAATTTTTTCTTCACCCCGTGAATTCTGTTTTTCTTCACATCTAACTGTCATGAATCTTTAAATATGAAAACATTATATTTTCAAAATCATTGTATTGATAATGTAAATACAAACTTACATTTTTAAGAAAAACACTTATTTAGTAATTATAAATATTATCTGAAGTTGGGCATAGCCAAATAATTTGTTGGCTAAAACTGGCCCCATTGCTACATCCGTGATCCTGATGTTACCGAAATGAAAAATAAAAAATGAGATATAGAAATGAAAAATTCCAAAAGAATACAACCATTCACTAACATGATGGGCCTATATGTAGATACTTTTGTTATCATACAAGTCGTACTACTACAACAATAATAAGCACCATTTAATATATTTACTCAACAATGTATATTAAATTAAAACCTTAGTCTATTACTTCATTCGTCCCGCTAAGATTGTCTCAGTTCCTATTCATTTGGTCAACACACACAACTCTTAATCTCTTACTTATATATCAAATTTTTATCAAATTTGATTCTGGTTTTTGCGACTTTGTAAAATTTTTAATGAAGTTTCTGAATATGTAATTTTTTCCCCAAAAATAATTTGAGTGCGGACAAGATTTGTATACTTTATCGACAGTCAAATATCGTAAACTGATGAATTGTCGCATTTTTAGTGGAACGGAGGGAGTACTACATATTATACATCAATTTTCCAATAACCGGTCTAAGTCCAGTTTAAGTCTCATATGCCACCTGCAGCTCATAACTTTGAAAGTGGCTGAAACCGAAAACCCCAAAAGGCCAAAACCCATTTTCCTTTCTCAATAACAACTTATCCTAGCCAAGACAATTGATTTCATTCCTCTCTCTCGGCTGGTAGAATGAGCTCATCATTTTTTTCAAGATCTTCCTATGATATGGTCATGAGCAGAAGGCGGAACACATACAACATGCTGGAATTGCTTGGGCAACCATTTTCACATGATCGAACCCCCGCCCAGCCTTAGATGTTTCCTCTTGTAAATTGTTACAATAAATTCAATAATCTTTCATGCAAGTCAAATACTCTCAAATCAACTTTTTTAGAATTTTTCCTCGGGCGAAAACATCTAAATTATTATGGTTCTATGCAGATACCGATGCAACATATAGGCAAATGGGCTGTGTTTGAATTGAATTGATTTTGTTGGGTGTGTTTCGAAAAACAAAGAAAATTAATTAAAATAAATTAATTAATAAAATGACGAAAGAAAACAGAAATGAGATGGAGCAGAAATTTGTCAAAGCTCGTGCTACGCACGATGTCCTTAAAACGTATTTGTTGCCTCCCACGGTGCTAGGAGCGTTGCAACAATAGTTTCCCAGGATACGATGACAACGAACTAATGTTTGAGCACACAAACAAGAGTTCCAACGAACGAGAACAAAAGCTGAACACAAAGGGAATTTTCGGAATGCTGGAGGTGTATTTGAGCTAGAAAACACGTGAAGTTCGTATTGTGTGTTGTTGTGTTGTTGCAAACCACCTGCAGCCATTTATAGGGAAGATTTGTTGTGTGTTTAATGGAGGTTTAATGGATATGAACGTTGGTAATCAATGTCCAGCACGTTGGCATTGATTCTAGTCCAAAAAACCGTCCATTTATTGCAAAGGAACGTTGGGCATTTATGGAGTTGTAACGTCCCAGCAGTGGACTGCGGCAGACGTCTCAGCAGCAGGCTGCTACGGACTGTCCTGCCGGCAGCAGGCTGCTGCCGACTATCCTGCCGGCAGTGGGCTGCTACCCCATTTCAACGGGCAAACTTCGAAAATCGATATTTCATTCACCCGTTATCCGTTTTGAGTGTACCACGTATCGAATTGTAGCCCTTAACAAGGACAATCCGAAACCACTTTGACCCGACCCGAATCGGAAGTGGACCCCACTCAAAAAATTGCCCCAAAATGACCATTTAATGCAATTTTCTAACACATTTTCCAACAATCCCCCACATGAATGAAAATTGATTTTCGAGACTTAAAAATGACACGAAGATAGGAGGACACGTTGTGTTCACCGGATGATCCTTGCATGCGGAGAGGTAGGTTTAATCCTTTGAACCTTCCGCTGTAAAGAAACGTTTATTTACTGGCTGTCTAGTAGACTCGATGTCTTTGAACTATACTGCCGTCATGTAAACATTGACTTATCTTTACACAAGAACCTTCCAACTTTGTTCCGTTCTCATGGGTGTGCCCGTTTTGGCCATGGGTCACCGTCCTGGTTCTGCAAGAGTTTCTAAAGAACTGAGCCTTTACAGTTCTCCTTTGAAGCGGCCCTCTTCTCTCTCACATAGGTGATTCTTTCACGAGTATCCCGCATACTCTTCCAATGTTATCGAGTAGATCAACATTTTAGAATCATTAAAGCAAACGTTTTTGCTAACCTCGTGCGGGAGTCACTGTTTCAACGAGGAGTGGCTAGGAGTCCGGGACCCCCACAGTCACCATCCTTCGCTGTCACGCCCCAGACCGCAATCCAAGCGCGTGTACAACCGCCGTATAATTAAGTGACGTCACCCGCGAGTCAACCCCACTTAATTACACAAGGCGTTCGAGAAAACAATCCATCCATACTCAGTAGTAAACATACATAACAACATCACATTCAAACCAATGAATAGCGGAAATATTCAACGGTAAGTCATAAGCCACACCCGGCCAACAACATGGGCATGCAAGCCCCAAAAATAGTTTATAGCAGAACAAATATCCATGAGCAAGTGTTCGGTAGTTTGAAAGAAAATAAGGAAGCACGAACCACGTCTTCCTGATTTGATATCACCCGTGAGAAGGTGCAAGTAGCAAGCCCTAGCTTCAACCTGAAAATGGTGGGGCCCCCCGAAGGGGTCAGTACAAGTACCGAGCGAGTAGCAGGCTAAATATAGAATAACTAGCGTTTCAAGTATAAGACCCAAACATAGGGTGATACTTAAATAAATAGTCTTTTCCCCAAGTTATGAAATACTTATTAGTATATACATATATACTTGGAAAATATCCGATCCGTAGATCACCATTTTATTTGGGAAAAATAGTAATAGTCAATATTCTTGACTAAAAACCCCAACCCACCCATATACCTATGAGTGTATAGGACTCCTCCTTGTCCCTATTTGTATATCATAATCTATGAGTTTTAGGATCATAATCCTTGGATACTCCACCGGTTTGTGAGTGTTAAGGCCTCATAAGTCCTAGGGTCCTCCACCAAGTTTTGAGTGTTAAGTACTTTTAAGTACTAGGGTCCTCCACCAAGTTTTGAGTGTTAAGTACTTTTTAAGTACTAGGGTCCTCCACCAAGTTTTGAGTGTTAAGTACTTTTTAAGTACTAGGGTCCTCCACCAAGTTTTGAGTGTTAAGTACTTTTTAAGTACTAGGGTCCTCCACCAAGTTTGAGTGTTAAGTACTTTTTAAGTACTAGGGTCCTCCACCAAGTTTTGAGTGTTAAGTACTTTTTAAGTACTAGGGTCCTCCACCAAGTTTGAGTGTTAAGTACTTTTTAAGTACTAGGGTCCTCCACCAAGTTTGAGTGTTAAGTACTTTTTAAGTACTAGGGTCCTCCACCAAGTTTTGAGTGTTAAGTACTTTTTAAGTACTAGGGTCCTCCACCAAGTTTGAGTGTTAAGTACTTTTTAAGTACTAGGGTCCTCCACCAAGTTTGAGTGTTAAGTACTTTTTAAGTACTAGGGTCCTCCACCAAGTTTGAGTGTTAAGTACTTTTTAAGTACTAGGGTCCTCCACCAAGTTTTCCTATTATCAACCTCCTATCAACCTAGATAGAGTCTATATCATACTTAGTTACTCATAACTAATCCAATACATAAATTCTTATGTATCACAATCCATGCAAAACCATGCATTTATATAGATTTATATTTAATTAATACCAACCGGTATTAATTAAATCCTTTGTTCTTCGGTCCACGTTTTCGTTGACCGCCATTTCATGCCTTGTGTGTATCAACTTAATCATCATATAATTAAGTTAATAATATTCATTTGTGCTTCTAATACACTTCAAGCAAATATGCATTTCATATAATTCTTCATATCATATTCCATGCATCAACAATTAATTTCTTTCATACAAACTTAACCCTATTGGCTAATCACATGTTTAAATATCTTTTAAACATCATTATGAACTCATATAACATTTATTTAGGTAATCTCATAATTAACCCAAAAGTTATAAGATATTAAGCCGTCCACTCACCTTGAACTAGCGTTAGGAGGTTCTACCCTTCTTGGTTGAGCTCCGGTGAAACTCCGGCGACTTTTGGTCAACTCCGGCGACAATTCCGGCGACTTTTCCAACTTTGTGAAATCACTTGAAATACCCTTTACAAGTGCCTAACAAGGTTTTAACATCATAAAACCTTAATCAATACAAATAACCTATAAAAGGTTATTTTCCGGTGAACCGGTCATTTTGGCCTCTAAGTCCGTTCTTGGACGTAGAACCACCTTTCAACCCATGAATCCATACTTATAACATATGGAACCATACTAAAGGTCCTTCACATGATATATACCTCATATGGTAGAAGAAAAATAAAGGAGAAGTTATAATAAGGTCATTACCTTAATTATTCACACTTTTCCTAACTTTTGCCTTCTTAAAACCTCTTCCTTGGACCACTAAAGCTTGAGCTCGAAATGGCTATGGGGGATGGTGGATTGCAGGGATTTCTTTTGTTGTTTGAAGGGGATGGGTCGAAATTATGGAGTGTGATGATAGAGGGGATGTCCTTTTGGCTCATTAGACCAAATTATGTGGTCTAGGACCCCCAAGACCCTACTCCCATGTTCCTCTCTTCTTCCTTTGCATTATTCAGCACAACCATGCATCAATCAATGTTCATTTGAGTGTTAATTTCGTGGGGTGGCCCCCACCCATGTGGGAGGTCATCCCTTTATGCCCCAAAGTGTACACTTGGCCCCGAAAGTTGTATTTTTCGGACTGTTTTAATTATATTTTATTTTATCGGGTAAAATAAAATATATTATGTGTTCTCAATCACAACGCCCCCTTTGAAATAATATATGTTCCAAAAAATTTATTTGGAAGTCTCCGAAATTCATTTCTGGGCTGTTATCTGTTAAATTGTCGATACCGGTAATTGAGCTTCTTTTGACCAATCGGTCAACTCTGAGCCTTTCCACGACCCAAATAAAATATCCACCTCCATATAAATATTATTTCAACCCATAAGAATAATTTATGTGACCTCGGGAATATCGGGCGGCCCCCTGCTCCCGGTGTGGGTCCCACGTGCAATTTACTATTCACGCGAAAGAAATAAGAAAAATTTACAACTTCGTAAATTCATTAATCCTTTAATAAGGTTCGATACATTATTTACATAAAAGTAAATATATTTGGGGACGGTGTTACAAGTTCACCCCCCCTTATTTGGGATTTCGTCCCCGAAATCCAAGTGTCTAATCGAAAAGAAATGGGTATTGCTCCCTCATTGAGACTTCGGTCTCCCATGTTTCTTCTTCGACTCGATCACTCCTCCAAAGAACTTTTACCATAGGAATCTCCTTATTCCTGAGCTTCTTCACTTGTTGACCAACAATCTTCACTGGTTCCACCGTATATTGCAAGTCCTCACGGATCTCTACCGGTGGTTTCTCAAGAATATGAGATGGGTCTCGTATGTACTTCTTGAGCATTGATACATGAAACACGTCATGTATCTTCTCAAGTTCAGGCGTCAACTTGAGACGGTAAGCCACGGCCCCGATCCTTTCAAGGATTTCAAATGGTCCTACGTATCGGGGGTTAAGCTTCCCCCTCGATACGAATCGGATGATGCCCTTCCAAGGAGAAATCCTTAGGAAGACCTCATCACCGACTTCGAACTCTAACGGTTTCCGCCGTTTATCAGCATAACTCTTCTGTCGGTCCTGAGCTGCCTTCAATCTATCCCGAATGATCCTTACCTTGGCCTTGGTGATTTCAACCAGCTCTATCCCTTCGAGTTTGTCCTCGCCAATCTCGTCCCAACACAATGGTGTTCTGCATTTCCTCCCATACAATGCCTCATATGGGGGCATGCCGATACTTGCCTGATAACTGTTGTTATAGGCAAACTCCACTAGGGCCAAATGCTTGTCCCAACTTCCTTGGAACTCCAAAGCACATGCCCTAAGCATGTCTTCCAAAATCTGTATCACCCGCTCGGACTGTCCATCCGTCTGTGGGTGAAAAGCTGTGCTAAACTTCAGTTTAGTACCCAGCGATGCTTGAAACTTTGGCCAAAATCGGGATGTGAGTCGTGGATCCCTATCCGAGACAATGGATATCGGGACTCCATGTAATCTCACAATCTCCTCCGTGTAAAGCTTGGCCAATCTTTCAAGAGGATAAGTAATGTTGATAGGCAAAAAGTGTGCACTCTTGGTGAGCCTATCAACCACTACCCAACTGCATCATAGTTGTTCACTGTCCGTGGTAGCCCCACCACGAAGTCCATGGTCACGTGCTCCCACTTCCACTCTGGGATGGTGAGTGGCTGCAAAAGCCCTGCCGGGTGCTGATGCTCTGCCTTAACTTGCTGGCAAGTAAGGCACCGACTCACATACTCAGCAATGTCTCTCTTCATACCTGACCACCAGTAACTTTCCTTCAAATCTCGGTACATCTTAGTACCTCCTGGATGCATAGCGTAAGCTGAAGAATGAGCCTCCTCCAGTATCGACTTCTGGAGTTCCTCATTCTTTGGTATGCATACACGATCCTTAAACAATAATAGACCGTCATCACGTACTCGGAAGTTCTCAACGGGTCCTTCAAGGATTCTTTCACGGATCTTCTGACATTCTTCATCAATGGCCTGACTTCGACTAATCTCACCCAATAGGGTGGGCCTAACCTCAAATTGAGCAATGAGAGCCCCGCACGTGGACACCTCCACGCGTGCCCTTAATGCCTGCAGACAAGTAAGCAACGTCCCTGACGTACTCTTCCTGTTCAGTGCGTCGGCCACTACGTTGGCCTTTCCGGGATGATAGTCGATGATCAAGTCATAGTCCTTGATCAACTCCATCCATCTCCTTTGTCTCATATTCAACTCCTTTTGAGTGAATACATACTTCAAGCTCTTATGATCAGTGTAAATGTGACACGTCTCCCCGTAGAGATAATGCCTCCAAATCTTCAATGCAAACACAACCGCCCCCAGCTCTAGATCGTGAGTAGGGTAGTTCACCTCGTGTTTCCTCAATTGCCTAGAAGCATAGGCAATCACCTTACCGTTTTGCATCAGTACACATCCAAGCCCTTGGATGCTAGCATCGCTATAAATGTCGTACCCTATCCCCTGTATGGGTAGGGCAAGGACTGGTGCTTCGGTAAGTCGTTTCTTCAATTCAAGGAACCCCTTCTCGCACTTATCGTCCCATATGAACTTGGCCCCTTCCTTTGTGAGTTTCGTTAATGGAGACGCCAATACGGAGAATTTTTCAACAAATTTACGATAGTATCCCGCTAAGCCAAGGGAACTACGTATCTCCTTCGCATTCCTGGGTCTCTCCCAATCCATGATCGCTTTTATCTTGGCGTTATCCACAGCAACACCTGAACCGGATATGACATGACCGAGGAAACCAATCTCTTTGAGCCAAAATTCGCATTTGGAGAACTTGGCGAAGAGTTGCTTTTCCTTTAGCCGATCAAGTACAAGCCTCAAATGGTGTTCGTGCTCTTCCTCGCTCTTGGAGTATATCAGGATGTCGTCAATGAATACTATCACAAATTGGTCTAAGTATTCACTAAACACACGGTTCATCAAGTCCATGAATGCCGCCGGTGCGTTGGTTAAACCAAACGACATCACAAGGAACTCGTAATGACCATACCTAGTACGGAATGCACTTTTAGGTATGTCGCTTTCCTTGATCTTCAACTGATGATACCCCGACCTCAAATCAATCTTCGAGAACACTATTGCCCCCCGAAATTGATCAAACAAGTCATCAATCCTCGGTAAGGGATACCTATTCTTGATTGTGACCTTGTTCGACTGTCGGTAGTCAATACACATTCTTAGTGTACCATCTTTCCTTTTTTTTTTTTTTTTTTTTTACGAAGAGTACGGGTGCTCCCCACGATGAATGACTGGGTCTGATGAACCCGTTGTCCAGTAATTCTTGTAGTTGGACCTTCAACTCTTGGAGTTCGGCCGGCGCCATTCGATAAGGAGGAATCGAAATGGGTTTGGTTCCCGGCTCCACTTCAATTACAAATTCAATCTCTCTATCGGGTGGAAGCCCCGGTAGGTCTTTGGGAAAGACATCCGGGTACTTGCACACGACCTGTACATCTTTGATGTCGACTTCCTTCTTGGTATCGTCCACCACGTAGGCAAGGTACGCGTGGCATCCCTTCCTCATCATCTTCCGTGCTCTCATCACGGATATGATACAAGCACTAGATTTCCCCCGATCTCCTTCGAAACATAACGTGTTTCCTAGATCATCCTCGAGCTCCAACACCTTGGTGTAGCAATCAACTCGAGCATGGTGCTTCTCAAGCCAATCCATTCCTAGGATTACATCGAACTCCAACATGCTTAGAGGTACGAAATCACAAGTCAAGGGTTGACCCGTCACTTCCACCTCACATGATGGATAGTAATGATTTCTCTCCACGTCGTCTCCTAACGGTGTGGAGACTAGCAATGTTTGTGTCATAGGCGTCAATGGCACGTCGAGCCCCTCGGCAAACGCCTCACTCACAAATGGGCGTTGTGCCCCGGTATTCGATGAGGATCCTCGCACACCTACCATTGATCTTTAATGTTCCTACATTTATACACCATGTAAGATACCTTTTTCTAATGTTTTTACACATCTTTAGGAGGTTATTAGGTTCATACTAATGTTTGGAATCAAACGGGGATCCAAACGTAGGAGAACGGGGCGAAAAAATCAAGTTTCGGGTGCCTGGGGTCCACGCACGGCGTGCCTGGGTGGCACGCACGGTCGTGCGTGAGTGAGAAGTTCGGAATCCGCCACTGCCGGCTACGCACGATCGTGCGTAGCTGGTCACGCACGGTCGTGTGTCCCACGCACGGCGTGCCTTCCCTGCACGCACGGCGTGCGTCTGCGCGGAAAATGGCCAGAGGCTGCTGCCTCGTACGCACGGTCGTGCGTCTGTAGGTACGCGCGATCGCGCGTAGTTGTTTTTAGCCCGTTTCGCCCCGAATTCGCGGGGTTTGACCCCGGGGTGGCCCGCACCCAAACCCGATGACTCGTATGACCCAAATAAGCCTAGAAATACAGGAAAATAAGCGTATTACCTGTAACGGAGTCTGGGTTTGCTCTCGCATCCGCCTCGGTCATCGCGTAGTCTCGTGCTTGGGCCCCGCCTCGATTGACGGACGTAGCGTTGCTCGCCGTTGGTTCCGTATGGTTTCCTTCCACGGTGAGCCCTTCCTTGGCTTGCGATGTCTCTCGTTGCCTCCTCCATGGGCAACTTAATTTCATGTGGGTTGTGCTCCCACATTCGTAGCACATCGGGGGCCCGTTGCACCTTCCGAAATGTTTCTTAGAGCAATTCGAACATTTGGATGGTCTGAAAGAGTACGGAAAGGACGTATGCCACCTTGAGGTCCTTTTCTTTTTCACCGGTGATGCCGGTGCCGTAAGAGTGCTTTCTCCTCCTTGGTCGTTTGCCCAAGGATGGGTTTGGCTGACAGTCATATCACGTTGGGAGGTGGCCCGATCTCGCCTCGCCTGACGCCTACGTTCGTTCCTCCTGGTGTTCATGTTACACATCGAGCCCACTTGATTAGCGCTTGCCGCTTGGCGGCCCTCACGGACCCCATGGCCTATTCCTCTCCCCGTAATGGCTCGTGACACAGCCCGGCTAGCCTCAAGGTAAGCTACCGACGCTTGTCCCTTAGGGTCATTCCTTGTTGCCTTTCGCTTACCCTCCATTTCTGAAACGGAATTTGGACGAGTCTTTAGACTCCTATGAATGTCAATTGACGGAAAAACGTTATAGACACGTATTGACCCAAGTCACCACCATACCAATTGTTAAGGGTACCGTCTTAACAATTAGAGGCCTTGCAACTTAAGCACCAATAGTCCTATAAACGTCAAAATACAATGCTCATGGTTTTCGGTAAAAACTCCTTTTTAAGATCTTATGTGAGAGGTTGATTATATAGTTTAGAACTGAGATGGCTCTGATACCACTTAATTGTCACGCCCCAGACCGCAATCCAAGCGCGTGTACAACCGCCGTATAATTAAGTGACGTCACCCGCGAGTCAACCCCACTTAATTACACAAGGCGTTCGAGAAAACAATCCATCCATACTCAGTAGTAAACATACATAACAACATCACATTCAAACCAATGAATAGCGGAAATATTCAACGGTAAGTCATAAGCCACACCCGGCCAACAACATGGGCATGCAAGCCCCAAAAATAGTTTATAGCAGAACAAATATCCATGAGCAAGTGTTCGGTAGTTTGAAAGAAAATAAGGAAGCACGAACCACGTCTTCCTGATTTGATATCACCCGTGAGAAGGTGCAAGTAGCAAGCCCTAGCTTCAACCTGAAAATGGTGGGGCCCCCCGAAGGGGTCAGTACAAGTACCGAGCGAGTAGCAGGCTAAATATAGAATAACTAGCGTTTCAAGTATAAGACCCAAACATAGGGTGATACTTAAATAAATAGTCTTTTCCCCAAGTTATGAAATACTTATTAGTATATACATATATACTTGGAAAATATCCGATCCGTAGATCACCATTTTATTTGGGAAAAATAGTAATAGTCAATATTCTTGACTAAAAACCCCAACCCACCCATATACCTATGAGTGTATAGGACTCCTCCTTGTCCCTATTTGTATATCATAATCTATGAGTTTTAGGATCATAATCCTTGGATACTCCACCGGTTTGTGAGTGTTAAGGCCTCATAAGTCCTAGGGTCCTCCACCAAGTTTTGAGTGTTAAGTACTTTTAAGTACTAGGGTCCTCCACCAAGTTTTGAGTGTTAAGTACTTTTTAAGTACTAGGGTCCTCCACCAAGTTTTGAGTGTTAAGTACTTTTTAAGTACTAGGGTCCTCCACCAAGTTTTGAGTGTTAAGTACTTTTTAAGTACTAGGGTCCTCCACCAAGTTTGAGTGTTAAGTACTTTTTAAGTACTAGGGTCCTCCACCAAGTTTTGAGTGTTAAGTACTTTTTAAGTACTAGGGTCCTCCACCAAGTTTGAGTGTTAAGTACTTTTTAAGTACTAGGGTCCTCCACCAAGTTTGAGTGTTAAGTACTTTTTAAGTACTAGGGTCCTCCACCAAGTTTTGAGTGTTAAGTACTTTTTAAGTACTAGGGTCCTCCACCAAGTTTGAGTGTTAAGTACTTTTTAAGTACTAGGGTCCTCCACCAAGTTTGAGTGTTAAGTACTTTTTAAGTACTAGGGTCCTCCACCAAGTTTGAGTGTTAAGTACTTTTTAAGTACTAGGGTCCTCCACCAAGTTTTCCTATTATCAACCTCCTATCAACCTAGATAGAGTCTATATCATACTTAGTTACTCATAACTAATCCAATACATAAATTCTTATGTATCACAATCCATGCAAAACCATGCATTTATATAGATTTATATTTAATTAATACCAACCGGTATTAATTAAATCCTTTGTTCTTCGATCCACGTTTTCGTTGACCGCCATTTCATGCCTTGTGTGTATCAACTTAATCATCATATAATTAAGTTAATAATATTCATTTGTGCTTCTAATACACTTCAAGCAAATATGCATTTCATATAATTCTTCATATCATATTCCATGCATCAACAATTAATTTCTTTCATACAAACTTAACCCTATTGGCTAATCACATGTTTAAATATCTTTTAAACATCATTATGAACTCATATAACATTTATTTAGGTAATCTCATAATTAACCCAAAAGTTATAAGATATTAAGCCGTCCACTCACCTTGAACTAGCGTTAGGAGGTTCTACCCTTCTTGGTTGAGCTCCGGTGAAACTCCGGCGACTTTTGGTCAACTCCGGCGACAATTCCGGCGACTTTTCCAACTTTGTGAAATCACTTGAAATACCCTTTACAAGTGCCTAACAAGGTTTTAACATCATAAAACCTTAATCAATACAAATAACCTATAAAAGGTTATTTTCCGGTGAACCGGTCATTTTGGCCTCTAAGTCCGTTCTTGGACGTAGAACCACCTTTCAACCCATGAATCCATACTTATAACATATGGAACCATACTAAAGGTCCTTCACATGATATATACCTCATATGGTAGAAGAAAAATAAAGGAGAAGTTATAATAAGGTCATTACCTTAATTATTCACACTTTTCCTAACTTTTGCCTTCTTAAAACCTCTTCCTTGGACCACTAAAGCTTGAGCTCGAAATGGCTATGGGGGATGGTGGATTGCAGGGATTTCTTTTGTTGTTTGAAGGGGATGGGTCGAAATTATGGAGTGTGATGATAGAGGGGATGTCCTTTTGGCTCATTAGACCAAATTATGTGGTCTAGGACCCCCAAGACCCTACTCCCATGTTCCTCTCTTCTTCCTTTGCATTATTCAGCACAACCATGCATCAATCAATGTTCATTTGAGTGTTAATTTCGTGGGGTGGCCCCCACCCATGTGGGAGGTCATCCCTTTATGCCCCAAAGTGTACACTTGGCCCCGAAAGTTGTATTTTTCGGACTGTTTTAATTATATTTTATTTTATCGGGTAAAATAAAATATATTATGTGTTCTCAATCACAACGCCCCCTTTGAAATAATATATGTTCCAAAAAATTTATTTGGAAGTCTCCGAAATTCATTTCTGGGCTGTTATCTGTTAAATTGTCGATACCGGTAATTGAGCTTCTTTTGACCAATCGGTCAACTCTGAGCCTTTCCACGACCCAAATAAAATATCCACCTCCATATAAATATTATTTCAACCCATAAGAATAATTTATGTGACCTCGGGAATATCGGGCGGCCCCCTGCTCCCGGTGTGGGTCCCACGTGCAATTTACTATTCACGCGAAAGAAATAAGAAAAATTTACAACTTCGTAAATTCATTAATCCTTTAATAAGGTTCGATACATTATTTACATAAAAGTAAATATATTTGGGGACGGTGTTACAAGTTCACCCCCCCTTATTTGGGATTTCGTCCCCGAAATCCAAGTGTCTAATCGAAAAGAAATGGGTATTGCTCCCTCATTGAGACTTCGGTCTCCCATGTTTCTTCTTCGACTCGATCACTCCTCCAAAGAACTTTTACCATAGGAATCTCCTTATTCCTGAGCTTCTTCACTTGTTGACCAACAATCTTCACTGGTTCCACCGTATATTGCAAGTCCTCACGGATCTCTACCGGTGGTTTCTCAAGAATATGAGATGGGTCTCGTATGTACTTCTTGAGCATTGATACATGAAACACGTCATGTATCTTCTCAAGTTCAGGCGTCAACTTGAGACGGTAAGCCACGGCCCCGATCCTTTCAAGGATTTCAAATGGTCCTACGTATCGGGGGTTAAGCTTCCCCCTCGATACGAATCGGATGATGCCCTTCCAAGGAGAAATCCTTAGGAAGACCTCATCACCGACTTCGAACTCTAACGGTTTCCGCCGTTTATCAGCATAACTCTTCTGTCGGTCCTGAGCTGCCTTCAATCTATCCCGAATGATCCTTACCTTGGCCTTGGTGATTTCAACCAGCTCTATCCCTTCGAGTTTGTCCTCGCCAATCTCGTCCCAACACAATGGTGTTCTGCATTTCCTCCCATACAATGCCTCATATGGGGGCATGCCGATACTTGCCTGATAACTGTTGTTATAGGCAAACTCCACTAGGGCCAAATGCTTGTCCCAACTTCCTTGGAACTCCAAAGCACATGCCCTAAGCATGTCTTCCAAAATCTGTATCACCCGCTCGGACTGTCCATCCGTCTGTGGGTGAAAAGCTGTGCTAAACTTCAGTTTAGTACCCAGCGATGCTTGAAACTTTGGCCAAAATCGGGATGTGAGTCGTGGATCCCTATCCGAGACAATGGATATCGGGACTCCATGTAATCTCACAATCTCCTCCGTGTAAAGCTTGGCCAATCTTTCAAGAGGATAAGTAATGTTGATAGGCAAAAAGTGTGCACTCTTGGTGAGCCTATCAACCACTACCCAACTGCATCATAGTTGTTCACTGTCCGTGGTAGCCCCACCACGAAGTCCATGGTCACGTGCTCCCACTTCCACTCTGGGATGGTGAGTGGCTGCAAAAGCCCTGCCGGGTGCTGATGCTCTGCCTTAACTTGCTGGCAAGTAAGGCACCGACTCACATACTCAGCAATGTCTCTCTTCATACCTGACCACCAGTAACTTTCCTTCAAATCTCGGTACATCTTAGTACCTCCTGGATGCATAGCGTAAGCTGAAGAATGAGCCTCCTCCAGTATCGACTTCTGGAGTTCCTCATTCTTTGGTATGCATACACGATCCTTAAACAATAATAGACCGTCATCACGTACTCGGAAGTTCTCAACGGGTCCTTCAAGGATTCTTTCACGGATCTTCTGACATTCTTCATCAATGGCCTGACTTCGACTAATCTCACCCAATAGGGTGGGCCTAACCTCAAATTGAGCAATGAGAGCCCCGCACGTGGACACCTCCACGCGTGCCCTTAATGCCTGCAGACAAGTAAGCAACGTCCCTGACGTACTCTTCCTGTTCAGTGCGTCGGCCACTACGTTGGCCTTTCCGGGATGATAGTCGATGATCAAGTCATAGTCCTTGATCAACTCCATCCATCTCCTTTGTCTCATATTCAACTCCTTTTGAGTGAATACATACTTCAAGCTCTTATGATCAGTGTAAATGTGACACGTCTCCCCGTAGAGATAATGCCTCCAAATCTTCAATGCAAACACAACCGCCCCCAGCTCTAGATCGTGAGTAGGGTAGTTCACCTCGTGTTTCCTCAATTGCCTAGAAGCATAGGCAATCACCTTACCGTTTTGCATCAGTACACATCCAAGCCCTTGGATGCTAGCATCGCTATAAATGTCGTACCCTATCCCCTGTATGGGTAGGGCAAGGACTGGTGCTTCGGTAAGTCGTTTCTTCAATTCAAGGAACCCCTTCTCGCACTTATCGTCCCATATGAACTTGGCCCCTTCCTTTGTGAGTTTCGTTAATGGAGACGCCAATACGGAGAATTTTTCAACAAATTTACGATAGTATCCCGCTAAGCCAAGGGAACTACGTATCTCCTTCGCATTCCTGGGTCTCTCCCAATCCATGATCGCTTTTATCTTGGCGTTATCCACAGCAACACCTGAACCGGATATGACATGACCGAGGAAACCAATCTCTTTGAGCCAAAATTCGCATTTGGAGAACTTGGCGAAGAGTTGCTTTTCCTTTAGCCGATCAAGTACAAACCTCAAATGGTGTTCGTGCTCTTCCTCGCTCTTGGAGTATATCAGGATGTCGTCAATGAATACTATCACAAATTGGTCTAAGTATTCACTAAACACACGGTTCATCAAGTCCATGAATGCCGCCGGTGCGTTGGTTAAACCAAACGACATCACAAGGAACTCGTAATGACCATACCTAGTACGGAATGCACTTTTAGGTATGTCGCTTTCCTTGATCTTCAACTGATGATACCCCGACCTCAAATCAATCTTCGAGAACACTATTGCCCCCCGAAATTGATCAAACAAGTCATCAATCCTCGGTAAGGGATACCTATTCTTGATTGTGACCTTGTTCGACTGTCGGTAGTCAATACACATTCTTAGTGTACCATCTTTCCTTTTTTTTTTTTTTTTTTTTACGAAGAGTACGGGTGCTCCCCACGATGAATGACTGGGTCTGATGAACCCGTTGTCCAGTAATTCTTGTAGTTGGACCTTCAACTCTTGGAGTTCGGCCGGCGCCATTCGATAAGGAGGAATCGAAATGGGTTTGGTTCCCGGCTCCACTTCAATTACAAATTCAATCTCTCTATCGGGTGGAAGCCCCGGTAGGTCTTTGGGAAAGACATCCGGGTACTTGCACACGACCTGTACATCTTTGATGTCGACTTCCTTCTTGGTATCGTCCACCACGTAGGCAAGGTACGCGTGGCATCCCTTCCTCATCATCTTCCGTGCTCTCATCACGGATATGATACAAGCACTAGATTTCCCCCGATCTCCTTCGAAACATAACGTGTTTCCTAGATCATCCTCGAGCTCCAACACCTTGGTGTAGCAATCAACTCGAGCATGGTGCTTCTCAAGCCAATCCATTCCTAGGATTACATCGAACTCCAACATGCTTAGAGGTACGAAATCACAAGTCAAGGGTTGACCCGTCACTTCCACCTCACATGATGGATAGTAATGATTTCTCTCCACGTCGTCTCCTAACGGTGTGGAGACTAGCAATGTTTGTGTCATAGGCGTCAATGGCACGTCGAGCCCCTCGGCAAACGCCTCACTCACAAATGGGCGTTGTGCCCCGGTATTCGATGAGGATCCTCGCACACCTACCATTGATCTTTAATGTTCCTACATTTATACACCATGTAAGATACCTTTTTCTAATGTTTTTACACATCTTTAGGAGGTTATTAGGTTCATACTAATGTTTGGAATCAAACGGGGATCCAAACGTAGGAGAACGGGGCGAAAAAATCAAGTTTCGGGTGCCTGGGGTCCACGCACGGCGTGCCTGGGTGGCACGCACGGTCGTGCGTGAGTGAGAAGTTCGGAATCCGCCACTGCCGGCTACGCACGATCGTGCGTAGCTGGTCACGCACGGTCGTGCGTCCCACGCACGGCGTGCCTTCCCTGCACGCACGGCGTGCGTCTGCGCGGAAAATGGCCAGAGGCTGCTGCCTCGTACGCACGGTCGTGCGTCTGTAGGTACGCGCGATCGCGCGTAGTTGTTTTTAGCCCGTTTCGCCCCGAATTCGCGGGGTTTGACCCCGGGGTGGCCCGCACCCAAACCCGATGACTCGTATGACCCAAATAAGCCTAGAAATACAGGAAAATAAGCGTATTACCTGTAACGGAGTCTGGGTTTGCTCTCGCATCCGCCTCGGTCATCGCGTAGTCTCGTGCTTGGGCCCCGCCTCGATTGACGGACGTAGCGTTGCTCGCCGTTGGTTCCGTATGGTTTCCTTCCACGGTGAGCCCTTCCTTGGCTTGCGATGTCTCTCGTTGCCTCCTCCATGGGCAACTTAATTTCATGTGGGTTGTGCTCCCACATTCGTAGCACATCGGGGGCCCGTTGCACCTTCCGAAATGTTTCTTAGAGCAATTCGAACATTTGGATGGTCTGAAAGAGTACGGAAAGGACGTATGCCACCTTGAGGTCCTTTTCTTTTTCACCGGTGATGCCGGTGCCGTAAGAGTGCTTTCTCCTCCTTGGTCGTTTGCCCAAGGATGGGTTTGGCTGACAGTCATATCACGTTGGGAGGTGGCCCGATCTCGCCTCGCCTGACGCCTACGTTCGTTCCTCCTGGTGTTCATGTTACACATCGAGCCCACTTGATTAGCGCTTGCCGCTTGGCGGCCCTCACGGACCCCATGGCCTATTCCTCTCCCCGTAATGGCTCGTGACACAGCCCGGCTAGCCTCAAGGTAAGCTACCGACGCTTGTCCCTTAGGGTCATTCCTTGTTGCCTTTCGCTTACCCTCCATTTCTGAAACGGAATTTGGACGAGTCTTTAGACTCCTATGAATGTCAATTGACGGAAAAACGTTATAGACACGTATTGACCCAAGTCACCACCATACCAATTGTTAAGGGTACCGTCTTAACAATTAGAGGCCTTGCAACTTAAGCACCAATAGTCCTATAAACGTCAAAATACAATGCTCATGGTTTTCGGTAAAAACTCCTTTTTAAGATCTTATGTGAGAGGTTGATTATATAGTTTAGAACTGAGATGGCTCTGATACCACTTAATTGTCACGCCCCAGACCGCAATCCAAGCGCGTGTACAACCGCCGTATAATTAAGTGACGTCACCCGCGAGTCAACCCCACTTAATTACACAAGGCGTTCGAGAAAACAATCCATCCATACTCAGTAGTAAACATACATAACAACATCACATTCAAACCAATGAATAGCGGAAATATTCAACGGTAAGTCATAAGCCACACCCGGCCAACAACATGGGCATGCAAGCCCCAAAAATAGTTTATAGCAGAACAAATATCCATGAGCAAGTGTTCGGTAGTTTGAAAGAAAATAAGGAAGCACGAACCACGTCTTCCTGATTTGATATCACCCGTGAGAAGGTGCAAGTAGCAAGCCCTAGCTTCAACCTGAAAATGGTGGGGCCCCCCGAAGGGGTCAGTACAAGTACCGAGCGAGTAGCAGGCTAAATATAGAATAACTAGCGTTTCAAGTATAAGACCCAAACATAGGGTGATACTTAAATAAATAGTCTTTTCCCCAAGTTATGAAATACTTATTAGTATATACATATATACTTGGAAAATATCCGATCCGTAGATCACCATTTTATTTGGGAAAAATAGTAATAGTCAATATTCTTGACTAAAAACCCCAACCCACCCATATACCTATGAGTGTATAGGACTCCTCCTTGTCCCTATTTGTATATCATAATCTATGAGTTTTAGGATCATAATCCTTGGATACTCCACCGGTTTGTGAGTGTTAAGGCCTCATAAGTCCTAGGGTCCTCCACCAAGTTTTGAGTGTTAAGTACTTTTAAGTACTAGGGTCCTCCACCAAGTTTTGAGTGTTAAGTACTTTTTAAGTACTAGGGTCCTCCACCAAGTTTTGAGTGTTAAGTACTTTTTAAGTACTAGGGTCCTCCACCAAGTTTTGAGTGTTAAGTACTTTTTAAGTACTAGGGTCCTCCACCAAGTTTGAGTGTTAAGTACTTTTTAAGTACTAGGGTCCTCCACCAAGTTTTGAGTGTTAAGTACTTTTTAAGTACTAGGGTCCTCCACCAAGTTTGAGTGTTAAGTACTTTTTAAGTACTAGGGTCCTCCACCAAGTTTGAGTGTTAAGTACTTTTTAAGTACTAGGGTCCTCCACCAAGTTTTGAGTGTTAAGTACTTTTTAAGTACTAGGGTCCTCCACCAAGTTTGAGTGTTAAGTACTTTTTAAGTACTAGGGTCCTCCACCAAGTTTGAGTGTTAAGTACTTTTTAAGTACTAGGGTCCTCCACCAAGTTTGAGTGTTAAGTACTTTTTAAGTACTAGGGTCCTCCACCAAGTTTTCCTATTATCAACCTCCTATCAACCTAGATAGAGTCTATATCATACTTAGTTACTCATAACTAATCCAATACATAAATTCTTATGTATCACAATCCATGCAAAACCATGCATTTATATAGATTTATATTTAATTAATACCAACCGGTATTAATTAAATCCTTTGTTCTTCGGTCCACGTTTTCGTTGACCGCCATTTCATGCCTTGTGTGTATCAACTTAATCATCATATAATTAAGTTAATAATATTCATTTGTGCTTCTAATACACTTCAAGCAAATATGCATTTCATATAATTCTTCATATCATATTCCATGCATCAACAATTAATTTCTTTCATACAAACTTAACCCTATTGGCTAATCACATGTTTAAATATCTTTTAAACATCATTATGAACTCATATAACATTTATTTAGGTAATCTCATAATTAACCCAAAAGTTATAAGATATTAAGCCGTCCACTCACCTTGAACTAGCGTTAGGAGGTTCTACCCTTCTTGGTTGAGCTCCGGTGAAACTCCGGCGACTTTTGGTCAACTCCGGCGACAATTCCGGCGACTTTTCCAACTTTGTGAAATCACTTGAAATACCCTTTACAAGTGCCTAACAAGGTTTTAACATCATAAAACCTTAATCAATACAAATAACCTATAAAAGGTTATTTTCCGGTGAACCGGTCATTTTGGCCTCTAAGTCCGTTCTTGGACGTAGAACCACCTTTCAACCCATGAATCCATACTTATAACATATGGAACCATACTAAAGGTCCTTCACATGATATATACCTCATATGGTAGAAGAAAAATAAAGGAGAAGTTATAATAAGGTCATTACCTTAATTATTCACACTTTTCCTAACTTTTGCCTTCTTAAAACCTCTTCCTTGGACCACTAAAGCTTGAGCTCGAAATGGCTATGGGGGATGGTGGATTGCAGGGATTTCTTTTGTTGTTTGAAGGGGATGGGTCGAAATTATGGAGTGTGATGATAGAGGGGATGTCCTTTTGGCTCATTAGACCAAATTATGTGGTCTAGGACCCCCAAGACCCTACTCCCATGTTCCTCTCTTCTTCCTTTGCATTATTCAGCACAACCATGCATCAATCAATGTTCATTTGAGTGTTAATTTCGTGGGGTGGCCCCCACCCATGTGGGAGGTCATCCCTTTATGCCCCAAAGTGTACACTTGGCCCCGAAAGTTGTATTTTTCGGACTGTTTTAATTATATTTTATTTTATCGGGTAAAATAAAATATATTATGTGTTCTCAATCACAACGCCCCCTTTGAAATAATATATGTTCCAAAAAATTTATTTGGAAGTCTCCGAAATTCATTTCTGGGCTGTTATCTGTTAAATTGTCGATACCGGTAATTGAGCTTCTTTTGACCAATCGGTCAACTCTGAGCCTTTCCACGACCCAAATAAAATATCCACCTCCATATAAATATTATTTCAACCCATAAGAATAATTTATGTGACCTCGGGAATATCGGGCGGCCCCCTGCTCCCGGTGTGGGTCCCACGTGCAATTTACTATTCACGCGAAAGAAATAAGAAAAATTTACAACTTCGTAAATTCATTAATCCTTTAATAAGGTTCGATACATTATTTACATAAAAGTAAATATATTTGGGGACGGTGTTACATTCGCTCTATAATTTAGTTGTCCCATTTGAACCTAGGACCAACTAGGTTGGGTATCCACTATAGAACTTTTCAATTCACGGGCTTTAATCCCATTCCTCGTGACAACTTCTCCAACAATTCTCTATCCAATGCCTTGGTTAGCGGATCCGCTATGTTATCCTTCGACTTTACGTAGTCAACAGTGATAACACCCGTTGTGAGAAGTTGTTTAATGGTATTATGTCTACGACGGACGTGTCTAGACTTACCATTATAGAGATTGCTCTATGCCCTTCCAATTGCCGCTTGACAATCGCAATGTATGCATATTGGAGGGACAGGCTTCTCCCAACTTGGAATATCCTCGAGAAAATGGCGTAGCCATTCAGCCTCTTCAGTGCACTTATCCAAGGCTATTAGCTCAGATTCCATCGTGGATCTAGCTATTAACGTTTGTTTCGAGGATTTCCACGACACGGCTGCACCTCCCAAAGTGAAAACATATCCACTCGTGGACTTTGAGTCCTTAATGTCAGATATCCAACTAGCGTCGCTATACCCTTCAAGTACAGCTGGATATCTTCCGTAGTGCAGTCCAAGGTTTTGGGTTTTTCGTAAATACCTCAAAACCCTTACTATTGCCTTCCAGTGTTCGTCACCGGGGTTGCTAGTATATCTACTCAGCTTACTAACCACAAAGGCAATATCAGGCCTGGTACAACTCATTAGATACATTAAACTGCCAATAATCCTAGCGTATTCTACTTGAGAAATACACTCTCCACGATTTTTGGTCAGGTGTACGTTTTTATCTAATGGCGTCCTTGCCTCTTGATAATCATCCTTATTAAATTTAGTAAGGATTTTATCAACGTAATGGGATTGGCTTAGCGTCAGACCCTCAGGTCCTCTAATTATTTTAATCCCAAGGATTAAATCGGCCAGCCCCATATCCTTCATGTCAAATTTAGAATTTAGTATGTTTTTGGTAGAATTAATCATTAGATTATTGCTACCCACGATGAGTATATCATCCACGTATAAACATAAAATGACATAGCCGTCTACCGTGCTTTTCACATAGACGCATTTGTCACTTTCGTTTATTTTAAACCCATTAATTAACATTGCATGATCGAACTTTTCGTGCCACTGTTTAGGGGCTTGTTTCAATCCGTACAATGATTTAATTAATTTACAAACTTTCCTTTCTTGGCCAGGAACACGAAAACCCTCGGGTTGTTCCATATAGATTTCTTCGTCTATGTCGCCGTTTAGAAAAGCGGTTTTTACGTCCATTTGATGAACTTCCAAATTCCGCAGAGCGGCAATTGCTAGTATCATCCTAATGGAGTTTATTCTCGTCACAGGAGAATACGTGTCAAAGTAATCATGGCCCTCGCGTTGCTTGTATCCCTTGATTACAAGTCTGGCCTTATACTTATCAATGGAACCGTCCGGTTTCACTTTACGTTTAAAAATCCACTTGGATCCCAAAGGTTTACATCCCGGAGGGAGATCAACCAATTCCCATGTGTGATTTTTTAGTATAGAATCCACCTCACTTTTGATGGCTTCTTTCCACATTGGTCCTTCGGTAGACGTTACGGCTTCCGTATAAGTCCGTGGCTCATTTTCTACCAAACATGTTAGAAAATCCGGTTCATTTTCTACCACACAAGTTAGAATATTCGAATCGAATTCTATTAAGTATGTGAGAAAATCCGGTCCGAAGGATTTTTCAACTCTAGCACGTTTGCTACGTCGGGGTTCGGGTTCTTCACCGGATCCCTCGCTAGTATTTTCCATAGCTACGTCAAATGTTCGTTTTGACGTGCTAGGTCCATCGTTGGACTTGCATGGAAATACGTCTTCAAAGAATGATGCATTCCTTGACTCAATTATTGTGTTTTTATGTACGTCCGGATTATTCGAATCGTACACTAAAAACCGATAAGCACTACTATTTTGTGCATATCCAATAAAAATACAGTCCACCGTTTTTGGACCTATTTTTATTTTCTTAGGTGTTGGTACAAGCACCTTAGCAAGACACCCCCACACTTTTAAATATTGATAGGAAGGCCGTCTGCCTTTCCACAACTCGTACGGAGTTTTATCATATTTTTTCCGGGGAACCTTATTTAAAAGGTAATTGCTTGTCAAGATTGCTTCGCCCCACATATTTTGTGGCAGGCCCGAACTTACTAGCATCGCATTCATCATATCTTTCAATGTGCGATTCTTTCGTTCGGCAACACCGTTTGATTGAGGTGAATAGGGTGCGGTACGTTCATGTACTATACCCACACTAGCGCAAAAGTCACCAATTGGTGCTTCATACTCACCACCTCGATCACTTCTAACCGTTTTAATCCGTCGATTAAGTTGGTTTTCCACTTCATTCTTATAAAGAATGAATTTATCGATTGCTTCGTGTTTATTTTTCAACAAATAAACATAGCTATAGCGAGTGCTATCATCGATAAAAGTAATAAAATATTTATTACCGCCACGTGTTTGTATTGATTTAAAATCACAAACGTCACTATGAATTAATTCTAGTGGTTCCGTTTTTCTTTCAACCGATTTGAAAGACGTTTTCGTTAGTTTTGCCTCGACACAAACATCACATTTGTGCTTCACATCAATTGTGAATTTAGGAATGTGTTCCATGTTAATTAATCTACGTATAGAATTAAAATTAACATGTCCTAGTCTACCATGCCACACATTGGAAGACTCAAGCAAGTAAGCAGAAGGGATTTTATTATTATTATTAATAATAGTCATTACATTGAGCTTAAACAGCCCATCACATGCATACCCTTTGCCCACATACATTCCCGACTTGGACAAAACTAATTTGTCCGACTCAAAAACCATGCGGAATCCATGCTTGTTCAACAACGAACCGGAAATCAGGTTTTTGCGTATCTCCGGAACGAACAGCACTTGGTTTAGAGTCAGCTCCTTGCCCGAAGTCATCTTCAGGACCACCTTGCCCACGCCTTCCACCTCGGAATGGGTTGAGTTTCCCATCCACACTTTCTCACCATTTGATGGCTCAAAAGTAGTGAATAACTCCCGGTTTGAGCAAATATGCTGGGTTGCACCGGTGTCCATGAACCACTCCTTGGAATTGGATCCAACGAGGTTGACTTCCGTCACCACAGCCGCTAGGATGATGTCTTCATCCTTTTGCCCACCTTGCACCAAATTGACGTGAGAATCTTTCTTCCTCTTTGGTGCCTTGCAATCCGAGGACTTGTGTCCATTTTTATTGCAATTGAAGCATTTTTCGTTGAACTTAGTCTTGGAAACGCCTCCCTTGGGACCGAGCATGCTCTTCCCATTATTTTTATTTTTTGGAGCTTTTTGCATGCTCCACCACGTTGGCCTTGGCGCCATGAACAATTGGGAGTTTCCCATCGTTCTTCCGATTATCCTCTTCAATCCGAAGACGGAGGATCAATTGCTCCAAGTTCATTTCCTTTCGCTTATGCTTAAGGTAGTTTTTGAAATCCTTCCAAGCCGGCGGCAATAAATGAATAATTGACGCCACTTGGAACGACTCGCTAACCGTCATTCCTTCATCTCGAATTTCGTTGAAGATCATTTGCATCTCCTCAACTTGACTCAAGACCGTCTTCGAATCCACCATTTTAAAATCAAGGAATCGACCAACAACAAATTTCTTTGCGCCGGCATCCTCACTTTTATATTTGTGGTCCAAAGCATTCCATAGCTCCTTAGCCGTAGCTAATTTGCTATACACATCGTACAAAGCATCGTGCAGCCCGTTCAACACATAGTTTCGGCAAAGGAAGTCAGAATGCTTCCATGCTTCAACTGCATTGAAAGATTGCACATCCACCTCACCCCCGGTTACAACCGGAGCGTGCTCGGTCAAGAACCTTGCCAAGCCGAGAGTAGTGAGGTAAAAGAGCATCTTTTGCTGCCACCTCTTGAAGTTCAACCCGTTAAATTTTTCGGGTTTCTCCACAGAGTTGCTCGGCACAGTCACCATAGGGAAAGCCCTTTGGTTAACCAAAGCAGATGCACCGCGTTGTGAACTATTGTTCACCGGAGCTCCGCTTTCAGAGTGATTATCGTTCAAACCGTTCAAAGCGTTCTGCCCAACAACAATCTCGTTTTCTTGAGAAGTCATTTTCGTTTTCTTAACGTTTTTTCCGAAAACACAAAAAACGAGTTCGTTCACCAAAGTGACAAACTACAGTTTAAGATTGTACACCACAGTATAACAATCCGCAAAATACGTTTTAAGTTTGTATCCGTATGATACAAGCTTAGCAACAAAATACGTTTTAAGATTGTTGGGTGTGTTTCGAAAAACAAAGAAAATTAATTAAAATAAATTAATTAATAAAATGACGAAAGAAAACAGAAATGAGATGGAGCAGAAATTTGTCAAAGCTCGTGCT